AAAATTTAAACTGTGTCAATGTCATGCATATTTAGCTAAGAAAAAAAAATGAGGATTTGTGGCCATTTTAAACCAAGAAAAAAGGAATATGATTTTCTCTTCCCCCCAAGAGTCCCCAAAAATTTTAATAACGGATTTTAGTTAGTCATATATCACTCATACAAAAAATAGAAGCTATGAATGTGTAAAATATTTTAGGCTTAACTTTTTAGTAATGTCATTAGTTGAAATATGAACATGCTTGAAAAAACAAAGACGTTATCTGATCCTGCAATTATAATTGAGTTATCGACGTTTTATGAAAATGATTGCTTCTTATTACAAACGCTGTTTCGAAGATTCGTTTTTTTTTTTTAATTTTATTTTATTTTTTAAATATTGTATTTATATTACATAAATATTTTAAAATGTGAAAGTCCTAACAGCTAAAATATATATACTTATATATAGCCGTGGTCATCGAAATTGCATCACTCATTTCTTTTGATTATTACGTTGATAGCGTTGATTCCAATAAATTTTTGTTTTTCTCAATTTATTTAGGTTACAAGAAAACTTTAAAACAATGTTTCTCAGTTCAGTTTGAACTAATGCCAGGATAAAATCTGTATTTATGACTAGTTGCAAAAAAAAACTGTCCTCGTCAGAAAATATTAAAATTGTGACGTTAAGTGAAGTGAAGGAATTTCCACGGGAAATAGTAACGAGGATAGGATACCACCAATCAACGGTAGTCATAGTTTTAAAAAATGGGGGGGGGGAGCACCATAAAGCGAAAGAAAGGAACTGGGAGGAGAAAAAAACAAACGAACAATTCGATCGCTTAATGGTGCGATTGTTTTTAGATCAACGTTTCAAAACTGGCAAAGAAATATTCGGAGATCTTGCAGATATCAATCTGGTAAATAAAATGAAATTTTTACTGGGTGATGCAATTTCTATGACTGCGACTGTATGCTGTAATAATTGTACTGGAATAGATTGTTAAAAAAAATAAGTTTGCAATTTTTTCCGTGTAATGAAAATTGTTTTCCTAATTAAAAATTAGAAAGCAGTGAAAACAATTTTAATCCCTGCTAAGTATGCATAGAATTGGCATCGTTTAAAATTATTCAATAAGCTTTAAATAATAGCTATTTTATTGTTGTTCGTAAAGCTCGCTGTAAAATAATTTTAGATGAATGTTACCCAACACGATGTAAATTTATATAGCTCTCTTTCGTAACGTATTCCCTTTGTGTAGTTTACACAACCTAAAATATCCTTTTTTTTTTCATTAAAAAAAAAACAATAAATAACAAAGAATGATTTTTAAAATTCAAAATTCTTAATGTATTATTTAAGCATAAAAACCATATTTAAAAAACCTCTTATGTGAAATAACATTTACACTCTGCCTATTTCCCTCTTGAATTATATAATTTTTCAAAATCTTATATCTCGAGTGCCTCTACTGTTCCTTAATACCAATAACGGGCTAAGTGAGAGGCACTGTGATCACCTAGAGTCCTGCCTTCCCTTTCACGAGTGGAAAGAAAGGCTCTGCTCGGAAATCTTGAACGAATGAATTTTTTAGATATTGTATAGAAACATGTGTGTATTTGGGTAGTCATTTTGATTAGTTTATTTTAATTTATATACATTTACTTTTAGTATTATTTATTGTAAATAGAGTGTGAATGGGCTCTCTGAACACTATCATAAATGTCCTTAATTGTGACAGAGTGTAATATCTCTCAATAAATATGTTTAATTCAGATATCTTGAGTAGTTTTATGTTACGAACAAAGGCAGTAGAAAAAACGCAGTAAATATAGAATAGAAACAAAAAAATAAATGAGAAAGGCGACAATCAACAAATTCTGAGATAACAGCCGACTTTAACCATACTTTTTTCACCTATTTTTTCCAATTATGAGTCTTAACTATTTATAAAAATTATTATATGATTTTTAGGCCAAAAGATGTCTGGGTTGACTACAATTAATACAATTAATTTAAAATTAAGGTTCGTTTTATTGAAATTAAATGTTTCATGTTAAGAGTGTTGTTAAAAAGAATAGGAGGGAAAAAGTAGATAAGTAATGAGTTATGAGCATAAATTGCCTTTTATGCTTAATAGAAGAGAGTTATCACTATTTTGGATTTTGTTTTTTTATACTTCATTGCTTATATTTCGACCATAAGCCTCGGAATCGAGCTCGTAAACCTAATCGGTACTTGGTCTGTGTATAATAGTAACCTATGAATTATTACTATACACCTTTAAAATAACTATAATATTTTTTCTAAATGATATGTGGTCAGAGTACCATAAATGTTTAAGTATTTTTAAATGTGAAACAATCGAGACTAAGACGCTCACGCATTTATTAACGAACCTAATTTTTTGTTATTGAGGTATTATAAAAAAAATATTTTCTATTGAATTCCTTCCACAGATCTGATATAAAGCGAAGTAAATACGGCGCTGCGGTTCAACTTTTCAGCTCACGTTTGAATGGGTTCCACTTGCTACAACACCGTGAAAATTTCGATTTTACATTCCATTGTCCAAAATAGTTCTACCGTTTGGAAACCAGAAACTAACCCCTGTTTTATCAGTTTAAAAAGCGTAATTGTTGTTTCTAAAACTCGATCAACCAGGAGAAAAAACTCATTACTTATTTATTTTTCTTATCTCATTAATTACTTATTTAATTCCGATCAAGAGTATATTAATTTTTTTTCAATTTATTCATAATTTTTCGACGTAATTTTGCTTAACTCTGTTCATAATGAACTTAAAATAATGAACAGAAAAGGGTTTTTTAAAAAGTATTACGTTTTATAAATTTCACATCTGACCCGATTATTAGTTTGACATGAATATCACTAACAAATTTGGTTTTTAAATATAATCGTTCCCGGAACAAACTCAACAACTGTATCAACAGCATATATTTAATTTCTTCATATATTATTTGATATTTTAATTTTTTTCAAATGAGTTATAATAATTCTAGGTATTATATAATGAAAATCTTCTCTTCTATCATCCATCTAATTGTTATATTATGCATGTTAAAAACATTTGTCCTTAGTTTACTAATTAAATTTAAAATAAAATAATTATTTTTATAAGATGGATGTTTTACAGACAAACTTAATATTTCTGTCTAAAATTTGCGTTTAAAATAAACAAACCTACAGATAGCTTTAATTATTTTCATGAAAACGTAAATAGGGCTAGAAACATTACGTTTGTCACTTATAAATACTCATTAATTACTATGACAGAAATCTGGTTGAAAACACAATTTTATAACTACTTTACGTAAAAAATATATTAAGAAAAAAACATTATTTTGAATTTTTTCATATTTATAAATAAAATATGTTTTTATACAATCATATTTATAACAATACATCCCATGTCACAGAAAAACAAGAAACAAAAGTTTTGCAACAGTTAATTGTATTCATTTTTGCCTAAAACACAAGTACTTCAGGTGTCTGGATAAAAAATCACATCAATTCTTTACACGACTTAAGATGAATCTCAAAAATTTTTCCTGATAAACCTCAACTTAATTAATATGGACTTAAAGTTTACTAAACGATGATTTTTTTTCTAAAAACGGAGTAAATGTAGCACAGTTAAACAGTGATAAAAAATCACAAATAATTTTTACATTTTTTTTTAACAGAGCTTAGCTGAGTTTGTCCGTTCTATAGTCCTCTTTAAATAGTTTTAACAATGACAAATTCTACTTTCGTTAAAAGACACGCTTAACAAGCTTTAAAAAACACAAATATTAGATTTGCTACTTTCTTGCTAGAAATTGGGAAATTGGGGAAAAAAAAATACGATCTTTTATGTAGATCTTGATGATCAAAGTTTTAAATATTTCCTTCTACTTAGGGACACCCAGTATATATATATATATATATATATATATATATCAGGTAAAGTTAAATAAATACTATTTATCATTGTTATGGTTTCATCATAAGTGCGTGAGCACAAAAGAAATAAAAATTGAACTCAGAAAGAGATTCATATTATTTGCCAATAAATTTTAAAATAACAATACTTAAATAAATTCATAGGTTCGTAAGAGTGATAATATTTTGAGACATTTCCAGTAGTTGAATTTATTTTTATCCGAACATCTGTATTCAACTGGTTGCCCATAAAAACTTCTGGCCCTGGAATTGATTGTAACAACTCAAGGAAAAACGAGCTGTTTTTCGATATAAGTTAGAGTCCCTCAAACACGCACTTTCTCGCCCGAAGAATCCACTTTCGATCAGAGCACGCGCGGGGTCCAACAACATTTGCGATACAGAAACCATTTTTCTGGATTTTTTTTTAAAGATACATTTCTTGGAGGTTCCAGTTGGAGGTATATTGGAGAAGATGGATTCCAGATCCGAAGAGACAGGCGATCATAGTGAGTGGACCGTTCTCCAGCGGACGTTGACCCCATTACATAACCCTTCCAAGATTCCTTCCTCCCTCTACCCGGGGGTGCTTTTCCTTCAAGGTCTTCGGGCTCTCTCTTTCTGTCTGCCTGTTTAAAAAAAAGGGATTTCTCAACAATTCTGCTTTCATTGCATTAAATTTAATTAATTTTTACATCATTTGAGGGGGTTAAAACGACAGTAGAGTAAGTCATTTTTTTGTTTTCGTCCAAAACATTCCGTGAGAGCACTTCAACGATAAACTTATGCACGCTATACATGTACCATTAACGTAGGTACTATGTGATTAAATAATATATCGAGTTATCTGGAAGTTAATGCAGGTTTACGGTTTTAAAATAAAACCAATAACGTATACAAAACTATTCTAAATAAAACTATTGATCAAAATACGTTCTATTTCTCTCGATACATTTCTGTCAACGTGTTGGTAATATGGAATTGTTATTTTTAATAAATTCTAAAATATATTCTATCAAATTTTGATCAATAAAATTTTTACACTGTAAAAATAGGGCCATTATATTTTTAAAATGGTGATCAGTAGGCGAAAGATCTGGAGAGTAGGGCGGATAAGGTTTACTTCTGTTTCGGCAGGGAAGTGCAGCGCAAACTTCATAACGAACATTTTATTTGGCGGTCGTTTGATGCACGAGGAACCCAAGTTCAAGCTTTCTTACCTTTCCAATTGCGTTGAGGTGGTCAGTGACTTGCTAACTGACGGTTTCTCTGCAATTTCACGAACAGATGTTGAGGAATTTTCTTCGAACAAAGCCCGCAGGACATTGTCGTCAAGGAAAGATGACCTCTTACGACCACGGTTGTCTTAAAATCTGAAGTGTCCCTCTCGAAATCTTTTAAACTCATTTACACATCCATCGCCCAGAGTTCGTTTATGTTCCGGCCTCGTTGGCTCTGTTCAGACAGAGTTTTAACTCATAAAACCAAATTACACGGAAATCACGAAATAGTGAAATGCTACAGAAGATAAAAAAAAAATTTGTTCGAATGAAGATCAATAAGTGGTGATCCTCATACAAAACAATATTTGGAACGCAAGCGATTTATTATATACAGGGTTAATGTAAAGATAACATGAAATCCTGCACTATTTTCGGAACAATCCAATATATATACTAGGGATGGGATATCGAAGGCTCAATATCGGCTTATATTATCGATACCATGAAAATATCGGAACGCATCAAAAAGTGAAGACTTTCATCAATATTTTAAACATTTTATACAAATATTGATTCTCTAGTACACAGACACTTAAAAAATACGTTATTTTCCTTTTTGAATTAGTTAATGGATATGTTGAATGAGTTAATGGAAATTAGTTAATGTAAAATTAATTTTCTAATTCCCATCCATCTTCGTCATTCTCAGTTTGTTTGTTTTTTTCATAAATTTCGTTTTAACCTATTATATCATCCATTCATTCATAGATCGGATTCTTATTCGGAAATGCTTATTTATTTGCTATCTACATAAATTTAAAAATAAATAATGAACAAGCAAAAACTTTTATCAGGAGCGCTCTCAGATAGGGGAGAATTAAATGCTGATGAACTTCCTTTCCCTTGAGACTGCTTCTCTCAACATAAATAACAATCTCCAAATAAATTCTTTCCTTTCAAATGCTTTCGTTTGAGAAAACTCAGGATAACTGGTCCGAAAAAAATTTCAGCTATTTATAGCGTATAAGTATTGTAGATTACGTGAGTAATAAATACAAGCAAGATGTTTCTCATTATATATATATATATATACATATATATATATATATATATATATAGAGAGAGAGAGAGAGAGAGTGAGTGAGAGAGGGAGAGAGACGTGTTTGTGTGTGAATATTACATATAATATTATCAGGAACTTTATGAATCTCTCATAAAAAACAGGACATAAAGATATAATAAAATTATATTATAATTAAACGATGATATTTCCCACATGGCTTTAATCATCATGTTCATATATTCATATTACGTTCAGTTGGACAAAAATCATTGGATTGACGAATAAATTTTTAGTCATAAAAAATAATCATGACTAATTTAAAATAATAATGACTAGATTTTTAGTCATGAGTCACGACTAATATAAATGACACTACTGATGGGAAATAATTTATTTTTTATTTCAAACGACTTAGGGCTAAAAGTTTACTTATTCATAATTCATATTTTAGTTTTATTCGTCGTAGGCGATTTATAAGATTTAGAATAAAACATTCAGAAATAAATAAAAATTAAAATGAAGCAATCGGTAATTGTCTGATGGAAATTGTAAAGTAAACGATTTTACCCCTGTATATAATTGTTATTTTTCAAAATAACAGGCTTTTATTACTTTATTTCATTTATACTCGGTTTAATACCTTTTATTTATTTCGATTATCACGCAAATAAATAATTTTATTGATTTATTAACAACTACCAAATTTTATTTTTTTACTAACAACTAAACAATTTCATTTTTAATATAATCGTTGCCTGAAAAAAAATTTGTATACACAAAAGTAAATACTGCATATTTATGTTATGGTTTTATCGTTAGTGTGTATGAGTGCGCACGCGCATATCGGTGATAATTGTGTGTGAACGACACTTACTTGCTAATTATGTACAGGAACTCGTTTTAGGTATAACTAAACCTTAATAATCTTTGAAATATTTATTTAGTGAGTATCCAATACAATCTTAAACTAAAACTGAGCAGCTATTTTAACAAGAAAAATATATACTTGCGTATTAAAATTTATAACATAAAACTATGAGGTTACAACGGATATGGAAGTTCGGTGTAATTAAGATTTGTATTTCCTTACTTATTATTACTTTTAACTATAATAAAACAGAAGTATGTTATTTAAATCTTATATCACAGTATTAAGTAATTAACTAGTTATGTTACACAATTCATTTAACTAACCCAATATTATACGTATTATGGAAAAAAAGGATTAATTTTCTTTCATCAGAAGTCAGTTTTTAAAATTCCCATATAAAAAAATAATTCAAGGATATTCCTTACACGAAATGGTGAGCATTAAAAAGTTTTAACTTTATATTTCTTTGGATATGCCGTGTACAGCTTTGTTCAAAATAATTTCCATTGTTGCGAAAATTAAATTTTTTTTAATTAATTGGCATTAACTAATCTAAAAAATTAAAAAAACACGATTATGTATATTAACCATTTACAGAAATTCTTGTTAACATAAAACAACAAACTAAGACTGAAATAGAAAGCTGTGAGATATTTGTTATGTGCCAATTCCGAAGGGAAACATCCACGGCCTTCCAAATAAAAATAGAACGCAAATGACGCGAGATTCAGGTGCAATAAACTGAGAATATTAAAGTCAACAATATAAGACGTAATTTAATAAGATTTTTCCTCATCAAAATAACACACTTTTAGATTTCGTTATTCTTGGGTTACTTTATTCAAACTCAAAATAAAATTTAAATTCGATTTAAATTCACCATGAGGAAAATAATTGAGGTAAAGTACATGACAAATAACTATTCTTTATAAATTAATTTCCTTCAAACAAAATATAACATTTTTCCTGGTATTCATACTAATGAAGGAATTTCTACTCACGGAAAATGTATATTATTCCATATAATTAATGATTCATAAGTGACGAATTTAAATTATTACACAGTGATACGACAAAGGAAAACAATATATGATATCTTTAAATTTCAAATCAATCCTCTACTTATTACAAAATTATTAATATAGTTCGATAACGTAAATCGTGCAGAAACAAGTTGGATAAAATATATGCTTTATGAATCAATCATCACATATACAAATGCATTTTAAACAAACAGATATTTATTATTGTACAACTCTGATGATATCATCAAGATAGTGAATATTAATATTTTAGGACATCACTTGTTAATATAAAGGAATATGGTATCTGCGAAACCCTGCTCTGCGGTATTATTTAACAAGTTTCGTTTATCACTTATTGCTAAATAAACATTACACAAATACTGAATATTGAATGAAGCACAAACACTAAAATATCAACTTCGGGAGATAAGGTTTAATAATTGACGCTCTCGGACGGGCTTGTAAAATTTAGTGTTTTGGACGAGGTTCCTTGACCTCCGGAATGCCAAAATACAAAAATAAATCTTTCTTAAGGCAGCTTTGAATTAGCATGTGAAAGTAGTCGAGTAAGCTATGGCCGCCGCTGGCTCTGCTCCAACAGGAATTGGGTCCCCGTTCCTTAAACAAGCGTGTAGACGCTTCGGTGACTCCCTCCTTCTACATTTAATTTATGTTTCCAGTCTCTATTTAAAAGTGATATTTAAAACCTCAACAGGCATCTAATGTTACGGGGTACACTTGTATATAGTTTCCCTTCTAGGGTTAAGGCGGAATAGTTGTACAGTTTTAACTAGACCACGTGATATGGCTAGGGGCGTCACGATTATTTCGATTCTAGTAATATGAATCTATTGGCTCTACGATCCACTAATAGCCCTGGAGCCAGGTTCCAAAAATCGACCTGATCGCAGGCGAAGGTTTGATTGTAAATTACGAAAGTGTTAATATACGCGAAATTTGATACTCTACAAATTTGATTCTATGGGTTTTTTCTCTTAGGGAACTCACTTCCAAGTTATAGGGCCATTTATAGTAATTTGTCTCAGTTTTGGCAAATTTGGTAAAACTCAGCGTTGGTTGACCGTGGTTTTATACCTTACCGCGTAACCAAATTTTAAAGTTTATGTACTCGTTTGACGCAAAATTTAACGTTCTTTAATTTATTAAAGAGTACATTTTTCGCATTGATGCGTCGTTTAGGAGTTATAGATGAAGAACCCAAAAAATATCGAAAAAATCTGACTTTTTTGGCTGTAAAAAGTTTTCCCTTGGTGGCCTACGTTAGCAATTTCGTTTTTTACATGTCTAAACCCATATATACAAGTTAAAAAAATAGAAACGTTTCTCACATTTTTTGCAATGGATTTCTCGTTTCGATCCTCAAATTATTGGCCTAATAATCTTTAAATCAGCCGCCATTTTTGAAAGCAGCGGCTCCGGAACGGCAAACAAGGTTTTTTTTACTCAGAATAACATACACTTTCGTAATTTACAATCAAACCTTCGCCTGCGATCAGGTCGATTTTTGGGCCCTGGCTCTAGGGCTATTACTTGAGTATTGGTTTGCACCAACATCCACTGCCAGTTTTCTCTACCGGGTGCTGCTGCCTTCCAATTTCAGACATCAAGTAGACTGAATGGTACAACTATTGGATATTTATTTTCCTCATGCCTATCAAGCCTTTATATATTTTTATTTTATTTTATTTATTCTTGTGATTATGCCAATTAGACAATGATTATGCCAATCCTTCAGGTGACTGTCGATAGTTGTAATTGACAGGTGAGGATTCATAAATGAAAGTTCAAACAAAAACAAGTAGTCTGAGGCATCTGCAGCGACGCGTCCTTGCCAGGGAAGCCATAGTCTGCCATTGCTACATTCTTCATTTGCTCCAAGAATTTTGGCAGGATTATTTTTCTCTTCCATCCTCACCAAATGTCCGGCCCAGCCTTCCTAGGTTGATGTGTTGGATTGCATCAAACTCCTTGAATATATCTTTCAACTCTAAGTTCATTCTTCTTCTCCAAACTCTATTCTGAAAGAATGAACCGTATATTCTTCTGAGAACTTTTTTTTCATAACGTGGTAACGAAGCTTCTTTAGCTCTAGGGTGGGTCCATGATTCAGAGGCATAAATGAGGATTCTAGATATATTGAGTATCGACAACCAAGGATTCTTATATA